ACTTCATTCCTTTTGTGCTAAATCATAGTTTGCTGTGTAGGTAAACTACATTTTGTTAAATCATTCATTATTGATGGACATTGGAGTTTCTCCCACTCTTTGGTTATTGTGAATAATACTAATACTAACATTCGTGTGTAAGTCTTTGATCAAAACATATAGTGAATGTTTACATTTTAAAAATCTGTGCAGTAAAAGACACATTGACGCTAATTCCCCTCAAAATACCACCCCTCTTGCTTTGAACACACTCATCCCATCCTTCTTGCCACTTTCTGAAGCAGTTCTGGGTGTCTTTCGTGTATTTATGAGGTGTGATAGAAAACACACTAAATGCTGCTGGCAAGTGAGATTTAATGGAAAAGTAGGTTTATAAAACATTGTGGGTGTGTAGTCATCCGTCTTATTCACAGGATCAGACACTACATTTTCTGCTCTTCCCCAAGGTCAAAATGACTATGAGTGGTAAACATTGTTTTTTTTTTGAATGGTAAACATTTGAATTGATTCAGGACCCTTAGGCAGCCATGCTATGAAAGAGAACTTCCAGAACTGATTCAGAAAGTGGCAAGAACAATGTAATAAATGTGTTCAAAGCAAGGAGGAATATATTGAGGGGGGTTAATGCCAACATCTTTTACTGTAGCAAACTTAACAGCAACCAAAAAGTCTAAACATTTATCACGTTTTTATCACATTACATGTGTTTTCACTTCTCTAGGGTATGTATATACCACTGAGTTATGTGATACGAGTTTCCTAAAAACACATTAAAAGCATGTAAAGAAGGCTGAGACGTGAGATTTGAGTTTATAGTGAAACCTCCGTCTTACCTGTTCACCTTTAAATATGCTTTTTTGATGAACAATAGAACTGGATGTATAGTGCTTAAGTATTAGAAGAATAAGTAAAAATAGAAGCCTTTAATTGGGTTTCTCCAAATGTGTTCTATAGGAGAACAGGGAGAAAAATAAAAAATTACATAAAAGCGACTGACAGACTTCTCTCTTATGGAAGCTGATTCTGTAAATAATTCTCATTGAATTTCTTCCAAGATGACAGCAGAGGAGAAGGCATTGTTTGGTGGAATATGGCAGTAGGTTGAAAATTTTCACCTTGGGGATTATACATTGAAATAACGGATGTCCTCTTTATCAAGTTGAAACGTAGCTTGTTTAAACATCCTTTTACCTACATGTGACCAAAATGCTTTTCAGTGTTTTGGGCCACATGTCCTTGAGCACTCTGAGTGATACAGCCTGAAACCTGCTTTCTGTGGAGCAGAATCGACCACCTCATTCATCTCCAGAATAACTCTTATCAAACACAACCTGAGAACAACCTACATATGATATACTTGGAAACTTATTATCTGATAGCCACCACATTTAATAGTTACTGACACCACAGATAAATCTGAGGGCACTTTCTCTCTATAATATTTTTTCCTATAAATGAACCAGGACCTCTAATTCTGACCATCATCATTTTGACTTTAATTCTTTTTTGACCGGGTAAGGGGTGGGGTACAGTACTATGCATTGAACCCAGGGTTGTTGCACAGAGTTACATCCCCAGCCCTGTTAATTTTGAGACAGGGTCTCACCAACTTGCTGAGTGGCTAAGGCTGGGCTTGAATTTGATCTGCCTGTCTCAGCGTCCCTTAGAGCTGGGATTATAGGTGTGTGCTAATGATGCCTGGTTTAAACTCTGATCTTGTACAAATATTTCTTTCTGGACTCAACTAGATACTTTTGAATATTTGAATGCCAAAATTTAAAGTGTTTTATTGGGACTTAAAATTTTATGAAACTCGTGTATAGGAATAATGAGAGGTTGTTAGAAGCAGTGTATTAAACCTCTGCATCTTTTCTACAGAGTAGTGCTGTCTTTTGGGTTGGGGCAAGGAGCCAAGTCATCAAGGTGTTGTCCTTGCTCTCAGTGTTCAGGGATGCAGAATTTGTGATGTTTCATTATAATGGAGAGCCAGCTGGAACTTTTACCTACAGTGCACATTTTATATAGTAGGAATAAAATTGGGTGCTGCCTTTTTGTGTATCAGAACATTGAAACTTTATAGGAAAAAAGAGATCTGAGAGAAAGCCTCATAGGCACAGAAGAGCATGAAATCATGAAACTGTTTTAAGAGACTAGAGAATAATGTTAAAGATTGGAGAAAAGTACTGGGAATTTAGAGACAAAAAGGTTGAAAAAAATGTAGGTATGTCTTATTTAGAATTGAATGTAAAGAAGCAGGTAAGATAAATGGGAAGGATGCACATTTTTGAATTGTGGAAAAAATTTTCCCCCAGTAACAAAACAAACAAACAAACAAAAAAAAAAAAAAAAAGAAAGAAAGAAAGAAAATTTTTTCTCACTGTTTACTGTGTGACCTGGGTGAATGTCCTAATTTTTTTGAGCCTCAATTTCTCAATTTATGTATTCGTTAAGGACAGTAACATAGACATACAAAGTTATAATGAGCATAAGATGCATATACATTATTTTACATATACTTAACATTCAAGACTTAGTTATTTTTTTAAAGTTTTATTTGAGGTTCCTGGATGAAAACTCCAAGTAATTAACAGCAAGGACTTGAATAGTTATTTGTATATTGATATTCATAGCAGCATTATTCACAAGAGCCAAAAGGTGGAAGGGAGCTAGTATCCATCTGTTGAATTGATAAACAAAATGCGGTCCATATATACAATGGAATATTTAACTGGCCTTTAAACGGAAGGAAACTCTGATATATACTGTAACATGGACGAAGTTTGAAGATATTATGCTAAATTAAGTAATCTAGCCACAAACGAGTAAATACTATGTGATTCCCACAATATGACCTTCATAGTGTAATTGAAATCATAGAGACAGCAAGAATAGTGGTTGCTAGCAGCTAAGGGAGGAAAACATTGGGAGCTATTGTTTAATATAAGATACAGAATTTCAGTTTTGCAACATGAAAACATTTTTGGAGATGGTTGATGATGATGACTGTATAAAATTATGAATGAATTATAACTAGTGAACTATATTTTTTAAAAAAATAGTCAAGATAAGCCAGGCATGGTGCACACGCCTGTAATCCCAGCACTTAGGTCTGAGGTAGGAGGATCGCTGCAAGTTCAAGTCCAGCCTGGGCTATGTAGTAAACGCAGATCCAGCCTGAATGACATAGTGAGACCCTGTCTCAAAAACAGAATTAGTTAAGGTAAATTTTATGTTTATGTTACCGTAATAAAAAAAACTGGGAGGGGTGGGAATTTCGCTCAGTGGTTCTACTGCCTGCCTTACAAGCGAAAGGTCCCGAGTTTGATCCGATACCCCCCCCCAAAAAAAAGAAAAAAAATGAACTTTTGTGATAATTTGAAAAATCAAAAGTAGCCAGGTATGTAGCTCAGTATGTAGCTCAATGGTGCCACCTGGCAAGTGCAAGGTCTTAAGTTTGATCCCCGGTACTTAGGAAAAAAAAAAATCTAAAAGATTCTAACAATATCTGCTTTCTATGCAGAGTGGCATAATTGATTTTATTGGGAACAAATACTGCTTGCTCTATTGCACTGTCTTACTTACAAAGACAAGTGTGGTGAAAGACATCTATCTAAGTTTAATACTGTTCAATACAAGACTAAAACTCCAGTTTTCCTGGGTCCTCTCTGATATGTAAGGATAGCATCCCAAGGACCTTGGTTTAATATAAATGTCAAAGTTCATCAGTGGGAGAAAGAGAGGAATAAAAAAAATACTGATTCATTCAAAAAGTAAACTAGTACTTTAAAAACTACTCCAAATTTCTTTTTTTGGTAATGGGGATTGAACTCAGGACCTTGCACTTGCAAGGCAGGTGGCAGAACCACTGAGCTAAATCCCCGGCCCTGCTACTCCAAATTTCTAAATGGATGTTATTTAGCAAAGATGATAATTATAGAGCAGATGGTAAAATATCACTCCTCTATCAAGTTAAAAAAGTCCAAAATTCATTACTTGTACAATGTTGTTTTTATCTGCATGAGTCAAATCAAAGCGTGGAAAATTGTTTTTTTTTTTTTTTTTTTTTTTTTTTTTTTTTTTTTTTTTTTTTTTTAACTGTGTAGGTCAGGCTGACCTTGAGCTCACATACAGCCCAGGCTTGGTATGGAGCTCATGGTGATCCTCCCGCCTGAGGCTCAGGAGTGCTGGGATTACAGGTGTGTGCCAACATGCCCAGCAGTGAATATATTTTAAATTTGAGTTACTGAAAGCAACTGTGACAACCAACTTCTAAGTTTGGACCTCAGTTACGAAAACCAAAGTAGTAGACACTGTTGTCTTTGTTCCAAGTTTCTTGAGACAGGGTATTGTTATGTAGTCCAGGGTAGTCTTGAACTCACTGTCTAGCACAGGCTGGCTTTGAACTTGTGATGATCCTCCTGCCTCAGCCTCCCAAGTGCTGGAATTATAGGCCTGTACCACCACACCTGGCTGGAATATTTTTTAAAATCCATTTTAATGAAATTAAATTATACAGGAACCAAACAAGAATGTCATTTGCCTCTGCAACAGTGTGCTTCTGAATAATATAAAAAATTAGTAATATATATAATGTTTCATTTTAACTATTTAAGTGTAGGTTCTTTAGCATTAAGTACATTTGCATTGTACAGTCATCACCTCCATCTACCTCCAGAACCTTTCAGCTTCCTGGATTGAAACCGTGTCAACTGTTGTGCTTTGTATTAATTGCTACATAGATTTTTTTTTAAAAAAGATGTCCCTCATGCAGTCATGATTCTTTGCCTGTCCGTGACAAGGCACACATCGGGCGCAGGGACTCAGCAGTGAGCAGAGTGGGCAGTCAGGCGTGAACACTGACTGACTCACACGGTCAGACGGAGGGAGTGGGCTTCCATCAGACCCTGTGGCTGAGACGGTGATCAGTTTGAAGATGTTTATTATGATAGTCTTATGGATTTAGTGCTCATTCTTAGTATTTTTCTTTGCTTTGTTTTCAGGACTGCAGGAATATGTGGAAGCTGTCTCTTTTCAACACTTCATCAAAACACGGTCATTAATCAGTATGGATGAAATTAATAAACAGTTGATATTTACAACAGAAGACAGTGGAAAAGAAAACAAGACTGTGAGAATTTAAAATCATATTTCACATTTATTATGTAATTTATATAATAGCATAATGATTGTAGGAAGTTTACTGCCTTAAAGTATTAAGACTATTGTGTTGGGAATGTTCTTTCTAACATGGAGTTTCAGATTCTTAACCAGGAGGTCTTTTATAATCTTTTAGTTAGTTGTAGAAAAAGAGAACTAGAAGTATGCCGGTGTTCTTTTACCTAAAGCATTATAAGCGCTATTGTTTTCTTTCATTAACCTTGTGAGATAATCACTGTTCTGCTTTACAGAGAGAAAAGTAGGCTTTCAGAGAATAACTAACCAAAAGCCATATGACTGTATGCAGAGCCAAAGTTTGAAACTGGGTATTTTAGTCGGAACCTGTGGCCTTTTCCACCCTGCTGGTGCTTCTCAGAGTATGCTAGAAGGATCCTTTGCAGTAGGGGCCCACCTCACAAGGGTATTTGAGAGAATTTGACTCAGCCGTTTACAGTTTGGCAGTGTATACATTTGACACCTAAGTGCCCTGGATAGTTATTGCAGAGTGTATCTTCCATAGCAAAAGCTCTTAATCACTTAATCAAATCATAATGCTTGTCTCTGAAATTTACATAGCTCTTCTGAATTATGAAAAGAGAAACTTTGAAAAAAGAACTTTTGCAATTTCACTTTTAGATAAAAATTTTTCCCTTTTTTGTTTTTTGTTTTTGTACTGGGGATCAAACTCGGGACCTTGTGCTTGCGAGGCAGGCAACAGCACTACTGAGCTAAATCCCCAGCACTATTTTTTTTCCTTTTGGATTTCAAGGTAATAACATTCAGACAACAGGGTGGGGACAATGATTCTTTGTTTTTGTTTTTGTTTTTCAAGCACTGGGGATTGAATCCAGGGTACTGTGCTACATCCCCAGCCCCTTCCCCACCCTTTTTTTGTGTGTATTGTTTTGAGACAGGTACTTACTGAGTTGGTCAGGCTGGACTTGAATGTAATAGTCCTCCTGCTTCGGGCTCCCAGACCACTGGGATTACAGGAGTGTGCCACCATGCCCATGTCATTTCTGAATGTTTGATACCTTGTAAGATACAGTACACTTCAAGATAAAATTAATATATTTTTTCTTTATCTATTTTTTCTACTATTATTGTTGGTTATTGAGACAGAGTCTCAATGCAACCTTGAATTCACTGTGTAGCTGGCCTTGAACTTGTGATTCTCTGCCTTAGCCTTCTGAGGGCTTGCATCACAGGCGTGTACCACCACCTGTTGTTTGAATGGTATTTAGTGCCACTCAGAGTTGGAATAGGTATGCAGAAGGTGCGAGAAGCTGCAGGAATAGGAGTATCTTTAATATCAACTAGAATGTTAGCGTATTATAAAATGACACTAATTTAGCGTGGTAGATATAACTTACTTTAAAGAAGTCATGTATTTTGTCAAGTTTTCAAATTATGTGAAGTTTATTAAGGAGAAAATTCATTCTGAGAAGTAAAATTCCTTAATATTTCTGATAGGGGGAATAAGACACTTTGTTTACTCTGACATGCCCATGGAGACTATTGTCAAAACCATTAAATTTAACTGAACATTTTTGATTATGGAAAATTTTAAGCATACAGAAAACTAAAGAAGCACAATGAATGCCTGTGTACCCACTACAGGGATTTAATAATTGTTAAATGTTTTGGTGTACTTACTTTGTCTAAGTATTTTTGGCTAAACCATGAATTTGTCATGATATCTTACCCTTAAAAACTTCACTGTCCACCTTGAGAAACTGTAATGTAAGTAAATTAATTTCCTTTCTTCCTTCCTTCCCTCCTTCCTTCCTTCCCCTCCCTCCCTCCCTCTCTTCTTCCCTCCCTTCTTCCCTCCCTTCCTCCCTCCCTTCCTTCCTTCCTTCCCCCCCTCCCCACCTTTCTGATTTTTTTCAAGACAGGGCCTCACTATGTAGTTCAGGCAGCCTGGGCTGGCCTCAAACCTGCGGTGGTCCTCCTGCCTCAGTTTCTCAAGTGCTAGGATTACAGGTGTGCACCATCATACCTGGCTCTTTTATTTTTTTGTTTGTTTTTATTTTCTGGTACTGGGGATCAAACTTGGAACCTTGTGTTTTTGAGGCAGGACCTGGCTCTTTTACTAATAACTTAGATAACATTTCTTTGACAGTTTATCAGTTGAAATTTGTTAATTTTTTTCACATGTTTCCTTCTTTAAAAACTTGTAGCAGTGGAACTCTTTCAGGTGTAACAAAGAATGTTAATACTTGCTTAGTTGAAGAAGTTTGTTTTTATAAATGGCCCATGAGATGTACCTCTCCTAACCCACAGTCAATCACAATCTGCCTCTTCTGAAAAAATGCCAATTCTCTGATAATTAATAGAAAACAAAACATAGCAGGTACTTTTATATTACAATTTTTAAAGTATCAGAATGATTGGAGAGCAGGCTTTGGATACCCACCCATTGTTGCTTTTTAGCAGCTATCTTAACCTGTGCTGGCTTTTGGACCTCATTTCCTATGCACTTGATGAGGGCACTGGGCCAAATGGCTCTGAAGAGTCCAAGCAATGTCAAGATTCATGTATTGGATGCACAGCAACCAGAGTGATTTTAATACTGCCAAAATTCAGTTACATTTCCTTACTTAAACTCTGCATTACCAGTAAGTTCAAATTCCTTATTGTGTTTGTTTATTTGTTTGTTTTGTTTGTTTGTTTGTTTTGAGACAGGTTCTCACTGTGTAGTTGAGATTGACCTGGAGCTCACTATGTAGCCCAGGCTGGTTTCAAACTCACAGTGATCCTCCTGCCTCAGCCTCCCAAGTGCTGGGAGTACAGGCATGTGCCATCAAGCCCGGCCAAATTCCTTATTGTGTATGACATTCTGCTTTGTTTTCCCAGTCTCCACCTTTATAACTCCATATTTTACCCTTCACTTAAAAGAAATACCTCCTGCCGGGGATTTGGCTCCATGCTTCTGCCGCCTGCCCTGCAAGTGCAAGGACCCGAGTTCCATCTCTGGTACCAAAAAAAAAAAACCGAGGAAATAGCTCCTCAGATCTTCAAATATATTACACAATTCTAACTTGTATACCTTTGCAGTTTTGGCTGCCTAATGTATCCTCAGGTCTGATGGTAGCTTCACTTAGCTAAGTCTCATGGCTTATAATAACAATTCAAGTATCTCCTCTACTAAAAGGAACTCAGGGAGAAGAGAGAAATTAATGTGGAGACATAAGAGTTATATGATATAAAGGCCAGGGATTTAGCTCAGTGGTGTTGCCTCCTGCCTTGCAAGCGCAAGGACACAAGTTCGATCCCTGGTACCAAAAAAAAAAAAAAAAAAAAAAAAAGAGTTATGTGATATAGACAATAGCTAACATTTATTGAGCGTTTACTTGTGTTGGGCATCATGCCAAGAATTTGGCAAATGCTATCTCGTTTAATCCATAAATAAAGCCTGGAGGCAGGTCCTAATGTCCTATTTTATAGTTGAGGAAACTGGTTTAGAGAGATGAGATAATTTGCCCAAAGGCATATACCTGATGAAGGAAGGTCGTAGAAGAGGTGGGAGATGGGTCAAGGTCATTTGGAAGAGTTAGCCTTAAACAAGAAGAGGGCCAACTCATGATATAGGACTGGATGATAGAAGGTAAAGACAGTTGTGTTATAAATACGGTTCTTTTGGGTAGGGTTAAATACAGTTGAGAGAATGTGTGAGATGGTCTGGCAAACGATGGGGTCCAAGAAATTAGGCAAGAATGTCTGACACTGCACGGGTTTGGAATTGAGAATGGTGATGTTTTAGAATAGTGTTTGAAGAGGTTGTAAAGAAAACCACTAAAGACTAACTAAAAGGACTCATGAATAATTTGCATCAGTACAAATGCCACATAGTTGTGATTATTTTTTTAACTTAGTTCTACTCAGTCACCTAAATAAAGGACTAATGAGTTAATTTTAGTATTCATTGAAAATTCTGGTTTTCTTGTTGTTGCTGTTGCATTTTGAGACAGGATCTTGCCTATATGTTCTAGGCTGGGTTCGAACTCTGTGTAGTCCAGGCTAGCCTTGAACTCAGGTGATCTTCTTGCCTCAGACTCCAGAGTGCTGGGGTTACAGATGTGCGCCACCACACAGGGCAAGATTCTGTTTTTGCAGGGTGGCAACAGTAGTGAATGGAGGACTTTTAGGGAATTGAGGATGTAGTACAGAAAGCAATAAATTGTGTTGGTCAGTGCTGAGTAGAGAAGGAAGAGAGGCTGGAGAGGGACTAAATGGCTTACGAAGACAAATGGATCACAAACTTGGGGGCTTTAGAGTTTTCATGTAAATAGCAATTATCATGCAGCAGTCATTAGGTCTTATTTAAGAATGTTGTTAATATGTCACGTAGGTTGGAAACAATTTTTATTACGGTAGTATTAAAAAATATCTAAAGACATCTGCTTCATCTCCCAATCCAGGACATGAACCAATTCCTCTTACAGCATCTCAGAGGATTTAAAAGTGAAATACATTGTTTTATGTTGAGCAGAATTTACTGACCTGCTCTTGATTTTATACTTTATCATAGTGTTTACCTACTGTATTCACTTTCTCAGTATGTTTTCTTTTGTTTTATACCAGCCCTCCTCTGATGCACAGGATAAGCAGCTGGTCACGTGGAGCCTGAAAGTCACACCTGTTGATTACCTCCTGGGAGTGGCCGATTTAACTGGAGAATTGATGCGGATGTGTATTAACAGTGTGGGGAACGGGGACATTGACACCCCCTTTGAAGTAAGCCAGTTTTTACGCCAGGTTTATGATGGGTTCTCATTCATTGGCAACACAGGGCCTTATGAGGTTTCTAAGAAGCTGTATACCTTGAAACAGAGCCTGGCTAAAGTGGAGAATGCTTGTTATGCTCTGAAAGTCCGAGGTTCAGAGATTCCAAAACATATGCTGGCAGATGTGTTTTCAGTTAAAACAGAAATGATTGATCAGGAAGAGGGCATTTCTTAGAATAGTATCACTCAGCTATTCTCTTATGAATTCCTGAGAGAGACCAGTTTTTAAGTCTATTACTTAGTGTTTCATTTGATTTTGTTGTGGCTTTTACGTAGAAATGTTTTCAGTTGTACTTGTTTTAAATTGTAAACAAGCTGTATATAAAATGATCCAAAGGAATACTTTTTTATTCATGAAAATTTGCTTACAACTGTTTGCATATAGGCTCATTTGAATTTTTGCTAGCTAACCTTTATCATTTATTGAGTTGTGTGAACATGCTTCCGATTGTACTTTCTGCCGTATCTATTTTAATTTACTTTGTGTGAGTTTTAGAGTGATAAAGCCATTGAAGTTGGTGATTTTCTTATATATAGAAAAGATTTCTCAGACTCTGGGCTTGAACTTCCTATTTAAATTTCTTAGTTATTTGCTTAGCTTTCAAAATAGGTTTAATCCATGGAGCAGTTAAAATTAATATTTTGAAGTGTAAATTTTGAAATATTATAGTAAGGATTCATATAAAATTCTGGCTAATTTTAGGCCACTTTGAATTTATATGAAACAACCTTCCAGAAAAATTGACATATACCCTGGTGTTAGTTTCACTGTTTATGTTTTGTCCTTTTATCACAGATAATCTGATGGGAATTAGAGCTAACAGTATAATATTTCTAATTGATAAAGTTGAGTTAAATTGTATATTTGTACATACAACTGAAAAGCTTTCAGTAGTAACTTTTTTCTAGCATATCTTTTTGGTCATTGTATTAGGCATGTTTGGAGGCTTTCTTATTCTTGCATCTATTAGAAGTTATATTTAAATATTATAATGAAATTTGGAAACACTAAGCTAATCCAAACCCTTATAATTATCCATGGTGTTAATTGATAAAGTTGCCAAAGAACATGCATTATGTACAATTCAGCAATAAGACAATGGTAGTCTTTGGTAACCCTTGGAATTAGGATTTGCCGACTGATGTTAGTTACTGATTGTCACTCGTGGTATGAAGCAATTTGAGTGTGATGTGATTGGCTGACAGCCAGACATTTCCAGTAGGTTTTGTGAGTCCTGAGAATCCAGATACTGGATTTTATTTTTTGAAAGATTATCTCTTGTTTGTAAGGGCTGACTCTTTAAAAATGTTGTTTTTTAAAAACTATTGCCTAAAGGAAAATAAAATGTAGACATGCCTGATAGGTTGGTTGGTTGCTTTTTTGGTAATGGTGGGTTTTTTAGTTTTCCTGTAACTATACTGCTGAATTATAATCAGTCTCATTACATATTTTTTGTTTCTTCTACCACTTGAAGTTTTATAATGTTAAAAAGGTAATAAGGGATTGATGTTTTACAGATGTTTAAAATAACTTATGAATAAAATATTAAAATACAGAAGTTAAGCTTATTGTTTTAATCATACTGAGGAAAAATAAAACTGTTACAGAAATTTTTTGGTTGAAATAGGAAACCTAATAGACTACCTTTATATAGAGATTTTTTTTTTTTTTAAGATGGGTTTCACTATGTAGTTCAGGCTGGTAGTGTTTTACATGTTTAAAATAACTTATGAATAAAATATTAAAATACAGAAGTTAAGCTTATTGTTTTAATCATACTGAGGAAAAATAAAACTGTTACAGAAATTTTTTGGTTGAAATAGGAAACCTAATAGACTACCTTTATATAGAGATTTTTTTTTTTTTTAAGATGGGTTTCACTATGTAGTTCAGGCTGGTCTTGAACTCATCTTGTAGCCGGGGCTGGGTTTGAACTTCCTTCTGGCTCAGCCTCCTGAGTGCTGGGACTATAAACATGTGCCATGGAGATCTGTTTCTTAAAGTAAGTCGAGAGATGGGTAGGGTTTCCAGCTGGTAACTCGGGAGCTCTGAAGCCTTCCTTTCTGTTCTTTGTCATTATGACGCTCTCCTCAAATTGACTCCTTTTGTGATTTCAGGATGTGGCTGTGTTTCCAGGCATCATAAAGGCACTTTAACAAAAAGGCAGACTTCCTTATGCTTTTCCATAAGCTCCCAGGAAGGACATTCCTTCATTCTTCATTGGCCCAGACTAGCTAACATTCCCATCTCTAAGTCAGTTCCTGGAAAGGAAAATGAGTTCACTTTCACACACCAATTGATTTGGCCGAGAAGAAAGGGCAAACAGGAGAAATGGAATCAGGCCATCAGAGAAAGAAAAGCGGCCAACAGTGTGCCTTTTACAGGTGAGCTGGCACCATTGCTACCATTTCATGGGAGTCACACTAACACAGCGGGTGTAGCACTGGATGGTGGAGAGTCTAACATTCTGGGTATCTCAGCTTCAAATTGTTTGAAATGATGGTCTTGTCTGTTGTAGGTTTATTTATTTTTTATTATGAAAAGAAACTGGTTCTACGTCTCATGGCAGATTGCTGACAGAATTCAGAAATAAAATCGAATTGTTCCTTTCTTTCATAAGCAGTTTCCTGAGTGTGTTTAAATTAGTAATTTTCAAAGTCCACCTTGATAGCCCTAACTGCTATTTAAATGAGATTGGCAGCTGGGTGTGGTAGTGCATGCCTATAATCCCAGCACTTGGGAGGCTGAGGCAGGTGGATCACTGAGAGTTCGAGACCAGCCTGGGCTACATAGTGAGTTCCAGATCAGTCTTAAGTACATAGTGAGACCCTGTCTCAAAAAAATTAAAAAAAACTAAACGAGATTGGCAGAATGGATTTAGAAATTTGATCTAAATGCCTTACTGTCTATGAAAGACTTACAGTACTTTGGATTCAAAGTCAAATAAATTGAAATAAAAGGTTAGAAAAACCACTCCATGCAAACAACCAAAAGGGAGCCTGAGTAGGCTATACCATTATCAGACAAAAATAAACTTTTAAGAAAAAAAATTTTGTTTTGGAAACAACAATTTAGGACCATGTCTATAGTCCTTGATCTCAGGAGGCTGAGGCAGGATGATCACTGAGATTGAGGTCAGAATGAGCTACATAGTGAGACCCTGTCTCAAAAACAAAACCCCAAGAAACCAAAAACAAAATATGTGTCAGGTACGGGGCTGGGGATGTATTTCAGTGGTAGAGCACTTGCCTAACTTATGTGAGTTCCCAGCATGGGATAGCGGGTGGGAGGTTACAGGTATTTACATACTTGACATAACCCCAAAATACTTGATGTGGAATTCATAGGAGAAAAAAATTCGACAATAATATTTGGAGGCTTTGACACCATACTTCCAATAATGGTCTAAATAACAAGACTGAGTCAGTAAGAAAATAGAGGATTTGAGCACCTATGTAGAATAATTGGACCTAACAGACATACAATAGGATACTCGACCCAACAGCAGAATATAGGTTTTTCTCAGGCGCATATGGGACATTCTCCACAGAATATCAGGCCAAAAAACATCCCTGTAATCCCAGCACTTGGGAGGCTGAGGCAGAAAGATTGCCACAAGTCAAGGCCAGCCTGAACTACATAGTGAGACCCTGTCACACCCCTCCCATAAAAAGTTTCAAAGATTATAAAATCATACAAAACCTGCTCTCTGGCTAAAAGAAACTAGACATGAATAACAGAAAATTGTTGAGAAAATTCACTCAAAGTCGAACAAATTAAGCAACACATTCCTGAATAATGAGTCAAAGATGGAATGATAAAGTAGAGAATACTTTGAATGGAATGAAAAAACGTACAACAATTTATGAGATGCAGCGAAAGTAGTTCTCAGATCGAACATAGTAGCTTTGAATGCCCACATTTAAGAAAAAACGCTGGTGGCGGGGAAGGTGGCTCAGTGGGAGAGCATGTGGATAGTGTATGGGAGGCCCTGCACCAGAAAGAATAATTTCAAAGCCATGTAAGCTCCAGCCTTACAAAGGGAGAAGAAGAACCAGGTGAACCACAAAACAAGGAGAAGCAAGGAAGTACAGATTCGTGAAGAAATATAAAGTACATAGAAAACATTTGAGAATATCAGTGCAACTAAAAGTTGATAAGTGATCAAAATGAATGAGAAGACTAAACTGATAAAAAGACTCACATTACTAAAATCAGGAGTGAAGGAGGGAACGTGACTACCAACCTGAGAGCAATAGGAAGAATTTGGGAATACTGTAAACAATTGTAACAGATTTACCTAGGTGAATGGACAAATTCCTAAAAGGTGACAAAGGTAAGAAATTGATTTAAGTTGGAAATCTGAAAGGCAATGAAGGAAAAAACTCAGGACTGGATAACTTCACTCTTAAAACTGAATTTTGTTTTATATTTTGAGACAGGATTTTACTGTGTAGCCCACACTGGCCTCAAACTTGTGGTTATCATCTTGCCTTAGCCTCCTGAGTGCTGTGTCACCATTCCTGACAACAGTATTAACTCTTTTTTTTTGAGCCAGGGTCTAACTACATAGTCCAGGCTGGCGTTGAACTTACTATGTGGCCTAGGCTAGCGTCAAACTTAGGGCAGTCCTCCTGTCTCAGACTCTTGGGTGCTGGGATTGTAGGTGTACACCACCACTCTTGGCCTCTATGAAATATTTAAAGAAAAAATAATACCAACCCTCAAACTCTTTTAAAAAAAGCAGAAGGGAACACTTCCTAACTCATTCTATGAAACAAATATTGTATATCAAGGCCAAACCAGGGATACTATAAAAAAATTAAAAACTAATATTCCTCTGAAATATAGATGCAAAAACTCTTAACATATTCTAGCAAAGAAAGTTCAGCCACATGTAAAAAAGATTATACCCCATGACCAGAATTTCAGGAAAGTAAGGTTAGTAAACATAAAAATCAATATGTATTATAATACGCCATATTAATAGCTTTAGGAGGGAGCAAGCACCATGATCTCAAGAGACAGGTAAATCTTGACAAAACTCAGCACTCTTTTATGATATAAACATAATCAATAGAAGATTTGCTTGATCTGATAAAGAGCATCTTTAAACTCAAGGCTGACATATGTATTGGGGAAAGACTGAAAGCTTTTTGCGGGGGATCAGGAATAAGATGAGAATGTCACTTTTTTTAACATTATAATAGAGGTATTGGCCACAATAAGCAAGAAAAAGATATATTGCAAAGGAGAAAGTAAAACTATATGTGGTGGTTTTTTTTTTTTTACATGATCCCTTATATATAAGAAGTCTGAAAGAGTCCCCAGATAGTATCTGAGGGCTAATAAGTTTAGCAAGATTGCAAAATAAGAGTTCAGCATATGAAAGTCAGTGCACTTTTTCCCCAAGAGTTGTGTATGCATGCTAGGCAGGTGCTCTAACACTGAGCTACCCCTCCAGCCCAGTACATTCCTGTATACTATCTGTGAATGATTTGAAAAAGAAATCAGACAATTCCATTTACAATAGTTTAAAAAAAGATGAAAATACATAGGAATAAATTTACCCTATAAAGTGCAAAATGGCATAGCGAGAGCTGCAAAGCATTGTGCAAGAAATGAAAACTAAATGAAAAGGCATCTTAAGATTTTAAGACTTATTTATTTATTTGTTTGTTTATTTGTTTATTAGGGACAGGTTTTTGCTGTGTAATTTAGGCTGTCCTTGAGCTCACTGTGTAACCCAGGCTTGCCTCAAACTCATGGCAATTCTCCTGCTTCAGCCTCCCAAGTGCTGGGATTACGAACATGCACCACCACGCCCAGCCATTTAATGTTGTCAAGATAGCAATATTTTCCAAATTGATACGTGGATTACATGCAGTCCCTTCAAAATTGCAACTACATTTTTTTTTTCAGAAATGGACAATTTGATTCTGAGTTTAATCAGGGAATTCAAAGGGCATAGAATAATCAGTATACCCTTTGACATAAAGAGTGCAATGGAAGATACTGCTGTCTGCCAGGGCCCTGCACCCTGCCTTCAGTCCTTGGGTTCTCTGCAACAGGGCAGTTGATAAAAGAGTTGATC